TTAGTAACCTGTACATAGAAGTTAACATTGGAAAGTTAAACAATAAGGAAAAAATTGTTGTTGATACATAGATATCTTAATAGAGACAAAGTGCTTCAAATTGTTGAATCCTAATTACATAATCTTTTAATTTTACAGGCCCGTTCAACATTAATATCACTAAAGCAGCGCTATCCTGAGGTATTCCGGAGTCCATGTGTCTACTCCGACGTCTGCGTATTACTCGCTCGGGACACGTATATGTTGTGCGCGCGTCGATTCCTGCAAGAACTATTCCTGGATGTCAGTTTTGAATGCTTCGCCCATGAGCCCACTAAAGTGCTATCAAGACATGGCGCGATTTTATCTCCGACGCAAGTGAAACCATAGTGCTTTTGAACATAGTGTATTGGAAGTGATTAAGTGTTCAGTGATAGTGCTTACGTGCAGTACGAATTTCTTGGCTAAAGGATCTCTGACCCAGAGGTACAGTAATATCTAGATATCCCAAATGTTAAGGGTAATATATGTAATATAACAAACTTCAAAGTATTAAAGAGTTTAGCAGAAGGGAACGGCATTTTTTCCACTTGAAGATTTCGAATTAACATGGTTCTAATAATAGAGATTCCACTGTATTACGCTTTTAATTTAAAGGAAGCTCTTAAATTATATATAAATTTTATGTTCCTTTACATAAACCTATGTACATCATACTTGAAAAATGGCAGTTGCATTTTTATTATTTGTATGATATCAATACATTTTTTTATCATATTGAAAATAACTTTGTGATGTACATATCAAGAAAATAGGAAAAAGAGTTGAGATCACTTTGCATTATCGGTCTTAATAACAGTGTGTCTGTGTTAACTGTTGTTTTTCAAATAATAGCCTCTTATTTAAGAAAAAATGGTAATGATAAGATATTTGTACTGTACTGTCAAAAGCCTTAGCGTTCTATAGTTGCAGAACTATTTTTAGATTTTTATATCATGAGAGCTCACAGCTTTGAAATAATCTCTTCTATACTATTCTTTAATGATAAACAAAATGTTCTTATTTTATTCTAAATTTTTAATCCTATTAATTAAAATAATTGTTTCCTGTGCAATTAATATAAACATTTAAAAAGATATTTTTGAACTATGAGAACTCTTTTATAAAATCTAAAACATAATGTTCGAAACTTGCTAGCCTGCTTTATTATTTAAATAACATAAGGTTGAATATGTCTTTCATATAAAAAATGCTAGGTCAACTAAACAGGTTGTATTGATAGAAAAACTTTAACCAATTTTAATGTATGAAATTTAAAAAAAATCCAAAAAAATATAACATGTTTATAGTTATTTAGTTATTTGTCCATCCTACTCCATTTAAATTATTAAAAAACCTAGGATAGATTGGTACAAGAAATTAATTATTTTTGATTTATTGTGTTAATTTGTAGGAGCTAGTAAAGTACTAGTTTAATCACTCTGTCAAATATTTTATTTCTATTTAAATTGTTATTTAGGTGTATAGTTATTACTATTATTTATAAAACACTGTAAAAACTGCCGATTTGAACAAATTTATAATTTTACCGCAGTCTAGATGAACTGAAATTATTTATAACTTGTGTAACAATCTTAAGGCACAGATAATATGTTTCAATTAAATTAATAAGTTTGTTAATTACTTATGTTTATACATAATTGTGCGTCAATTATAGCATGTTTTGTTTAATATTAAGATATGTAATTACGGAATAATTTATAACCAGCTACTCTGCCCATATGACTATTAGATTTGTTCCTAAACATGTCTTTGTAATTGTCAAGTTTTTTGCAATACTTACTAAAGTAAATAGTATAAACCTTAATCAACCTCGATGTATTTAAATTGTAATTTGTATAGGCTGATAATATGTTTGTTTCTTTAACTTTGGGTTCCGACTGCAATGACACTTGTATAATGTATACAGTTGAAGGAGATATTCTTGCTAAGAGAGGTTTCTCTTTAACCCGAATTTATTGGGTAAGGAAATCGTTCCTCAGGACATTACAATGACTTGTCTATAAAGTTTTTTCACTTATCGATGATCAACTATCACATCTTTCATTCTATTTGGAAACAACAGAGACAACAATATGATATTCAAGTGTCACAGAAGTCGATATATTTGTGATATAATATGTATACAATGTAACTAAAGAAATATAAGTATGTTTACTGTATTCATAGTTTTATGTTAAGAATTTTTCCTATTAGGTTTTTTAATAAGTCCCATGAATGTAGTAGCAGCATTTACATTTTCATATATTTATAAACTTACATATTGTATCGTAAGTAATCACTGTAATATTGATATTAGGTTTAGGTATTTTCCATATTAAAGTAACATTTCTAAAATATAGTTATGTTAAAAGAATTTGAATCCCTGCTACTGCGTATAGCAAAATGGTACATTAAGCTGTTCACCCTTTAAGCTAGATTGTTCAAATGATGACGTCACCCACGCCTGTTTGAACCATATAGTGTACATAAGAAAAAGTGTGTGAAGACTATGACTCTTATGGTTGGTTTCTAAGATCACAAGTCCTTTATAAAATGTTGTTATATCTGTATATATCAAAAATTTGGTCAAAGATGATGAGGCAGATAACGATATGTTTTATATAGTGATTTTGGTCTCGAAAACCAACAATTAGAAGCTCAAGTTTTAGGTGAATTGTTCTATCTATAGTTCAGTTAATTTTTCAGTCTAGTATGTTATTCTTTTCTGATTTAATGACAATAGTCTAGGTACATAGAATTAACAATAAAGACTTTCTAGTGATATTTCCCCCACCTGTGGTTACAATAAAAGAAGTCTCCCATTATATAGAAATTTATAAATACGCCGTTGTGTTCAATTCATATAGCATCTTGCATTTAATACTTATAACTCTTGGTCCTCATTGAAATTAATACGAATACATTTTATATAAATGATAATATTGCGATTAAGTATTAGTTATAACTAATCCAGTTGTCCCTTATATGGTTAGTTTCAATATTTATAAGCTTAGTTACCCCTTTTTGCGATGTCAATAATTTGTATGTAAGCTATGGCTATCTATGATGGTTTTCAAAGATATTTTACAGTATTCCTATAAAATGATGTACAAGTTTTTTAGTTCATTCTGATCGTTCTCGATGTCTGCATTTATATTTTTTTTAGTTCTATTTTCAATTTAGATTGTGTTACTACGTAATAAAGTCACCGGTTCCGTCGTAAATGCTAGTCTTTAAAGTATACGAAGCTCCGTATATTTTTCATGGCATGTTACAATTGTAAATATCTATGTTATTTGATTTGTTTGAAATGCAGTAAAAATATTTATTGTATATGTATTTTCCTCAACGGAAATTAAAATATTTCATCAAAATACTGTTAGTACTAGTGCCATTGAGCCTGTTCCTTAAAATTATAATTCTTATTATCAAGTACGCATACAAAGTAATGTTTAGAAATATCTGATCACATGTAAAGTATAATCAATATATATAATTTTTATACTATCTTATCCTTAATTTTATTTTTTGTCCTACAGACAAATATAACATTTATATAGAATTCTTGTAGAATGGCCGCACTGATCTGAGGTGCTGGCATGGATGAAATATTAAGCTTTATGGCTTCTTGTAGACTAAAAGGCTTGGCAGTTTTAAAATTGTGAGGAGTCATGTCAATTAGAATGCTTCAGAAACGCGGTCTTCGGTTTTAAAATCCGTCCGCTTGCAATCTGTACATATGCTTCCAACCATGAGTACATGTAATTGACGAATACGTGCATAAGTATTTTTGAAACCTAAGACCATGTTCGTGAATACAGTCGTATTGTCACTTTTATATTAACCAATGCTTTCATGTTTGTCTTTTATGGTAAAATAATAATCTTGTTTATCCGATTTAAAGAGATCATCATTAAGGACTGTCAATTTTTTTAGGGTTTCTTGAGATGTATGGTAGAGAATAGGGTGGATTTAATATTCAACACTGGCAACCCAAATTTTTAGCTAGCAATATTATGAACAAGTCTACGTTGCTACCAACCTAAAAAAATCAGTCAGTTTCCTTTTTGACGTTTGAAAGTATAATTCGAGGCAAAACAATTTTGGAAAAATAAAACAATTTCGTTAATTGCAACTTTAATTTAATCTTATCACTATAGCGAACATATTTTAAGAACGCAACATAATGCTCATTGCTTTCGTAATAATACCATTATTGTTAAGTTCACCAACAAAATACCCCAACTTTGATTAATGCTTATTTGTTCCAGTTTGTTTTGATAGCTCATATTTTCTGATAGAACTGGAGTTGTAGTGCCACTCTCGTCGGTAGAAATAGAATAACACTGGAAAGAGATTAGCTCCTATCTCTTGGTAAAATATTTAGAAAATTGCTAACAAGACAATATGCATTGAAGCAAAACAAATCGTCATCATCTAGCTCACTATACGGACACACTATACTCCACTGAGGAGCTCGGCGCCTACCCTAAAGAATGCGACTATGTCTTATTCAACAACGCAGAGCCAGTGAGGGTTGTTGACTTCACACATATTTTGGGGTAAAGTACCTGTGTTGAAATTTAAATTACTTGTAAGAAAATTGTATATAATCTGTTTATTTTTTATTACTTAGTTCAAAAAAAGTTTAAGTTATATATTTAATAAATTAATTTGGTTTCATATTCTTCACTAAATGGTATTTTTTTTTATCTTTTGTACTTGATACTTAATTCCCTATATTTTAGTATATTTTTATTTTCTATACACTGCATTTCCCAATTTCGAGAAAATCTTATTATGCTAGTGTATATTTTATATTAAAGTCTAATACATATTTCTAAAAATTGTCATATTATTAACATCGAACTAATATAAAACACTAAATCTATAGGTTACATATCTATATATCAATATTGACATTAATATAATTACTAGCATTTCCTGCAACATGGTGATTTGCGGTTAAACTACTCCATATAATAAGTTATTTTTCAAAATTTAGTTTAGAATTACAATATTTCAAACAACCAAACTTTGTAACACAGATGTTGCAGCGACATGCAGTCAGTAATTCTGAAGCAGATTCCTTAATTTAATAATTCTGTAGAACTTGAAGAGGTGCATTTATTCATCTGCAACAGAATGAAATTGTAAT